CCTCCGAGCTTGACCCTAACCTTGATGCCAGGCAGCGAGCCAAGCTTCTGGAGATAAAAATGAATGAACAAGCAAAGACAGTCAATGACCTGAAGATGTTAGGTGCATCAGCCTCTACAATCGAGCAAGAAATGCGACGCCTGCAGGATCTGGAAGCAGTCGTCTTTCATGATTTCTGTCGCGATGTGATCAAGAAGCTATGGAGACAGAGTGCGAAGACAACTTCAATGAAGGACCGTCTTAGCCTGGGTCCCAATTCTGATCTCAGGTCCAAGAGCTTTAATGTTCCCTCACCAACCATAGAGGTCAAGGAACCAATGTAAGGACATGATTTGCATCTTTGTGTGATTAGATTACTGTTAATTTTAGTCATAAGAATCATGATTGTATATGCCTATCTACATAAATTTGTAGAGACACTTAAGACGGAATGAAAATTTAATGGTGAATACAGTAATGGTTAGCTTTAGATTATTTAGGTATTTGAGAATATATAATTGAAATAGCAAGAATCTGTAAGATAAATGCTGTAGACAAGTTTAGGGGTATATTTGAATTGGATAGGTGATTTGTAATGTATGAGATGAGAATATGAAGAAATTGCTTTCTTGGAGGTCAGAAGGCTAATCATTATCTCCATTTGTCCCTATTTGTAGCCAGTCTCTTGGACTTGCCTAAATTTGCTATGTTGGATAGACATTTCATGATGATTTTAGGTTGCTAATAGCTACCAACAGGCACCTAGAATTTTGATACCCAGCAGTGCTTGATGAGTAATTCTACCTGCCACTGGTTTCACCGAAACCATTGACAAAAATGCTCCAGCTTTCATTGCCAAGATGCTAGTGCTTTTCCAACATCTTTCTGTAACCTGGATCAGAGTATTTTACTGCTAAGAAGAGAGAAGGCTTATATAACAATAACTCTAAGTTACCCAGAACTTGAAAATGAAAATGCATTATTTGATAAACCAAAGAATGCAGTATTTATCAGTGTATTGTTCAGTAATTGAACAACAGATTGTCAGGAAAGAAAATATTTCTTCATACATAATGAAGGTTTGTATAAGAGTTAGTATATTAGCAGACATACTTTTCCAGACAACTAATGAAATCTTACATTTTTACTATATTTTTGCTGTATTAGTTAAAAAACTTTTTTGTGTGCAATTTTTTTTCTGTCTCATTAAATTGTAGCACTACAGGGATAGTAAGAAGTAAATTCTAATTGTTTGTTACTTCCTCTCATAGAGTGACTGTTGTGCTAACAAGTAATTCTCAGACATAGTTTTCAAGCTTTTTTTTAAGGATGCTACTCAGGTCTAACTTCCCACAGGCACTGTGGAAGTCGGGGGGGCATTGACCAAGTGTCCATTAGTGTAGACAGCTCACCCTGCCACACTGCTTCCACTAATGAGCCTGCTGCTCAGAAAGTAAAATTTGTTGAAGGATCGACTATCGGGTAATGTTAATAGATGATGTGTCTTATTGGTGTTCAAGGTTAGTTATAAATCAAAGAGCATGTTTTATTTTGATATTTTCCCTAAAGTGTTGTTCCTCAGTCATCAAGTTATTTTGTCTTGGTTTGATGTAATGGTTTAGAATATACTGATATCTCATTCTCAGGCGGCACTTGTCATTCACAAGTGGTTCATCAGACTCTTACCCCACGAATAAAATTGACAACTCTGATGTGTTCCTGTTGACACCAGGGCATGGTAGAACCCCAACACCTACAAATGTATCTGATACAGAAACAAACTATCACTATCACTAATTTCAGGTAAATGTCTATTTCAGAATTATATCCAGTTGTTTATTCTTTGCAGAATTATGATGTGTAAAGAGGGCTTTATTGATCTTGTACTTTGTATATATATCATACTTGTTAATTATGATGATAAAAAGGAATGGTTGTTAAGAGATCTTAGATGTGATTCCATTTGCTGTAATCCACATAATTTTAACATTCATTATTATATGCTGTAATTAAATTAATTAATAAAAATTATTGGTTAATCTTAAAAGTCAAGCCTCACATGCTCTTTCACTAATTATCTCTCCCTCTCTCCCTGTTTCCCACTCTCCCTCTCTCTTTCGTTTCCTCTAACCTTCTCTCTTTCTCTCCTCTCCTTTCCTTTCTTTTTTTCTCTCCTTTTCTCTCTCCTTATCTTATCCTCACCTTCCTCTCTTTCTCTCCTTTTTCCCTCTCTTTTCTCTCTCTTCCTTCTCTCCTTCTCTTCTTTCCTTTCCTCCTCCTTGCTTTCTTCCCTTCTCATCAAAGTAATGGGAGGTATCTTCCACAGCAGCAGTGACAATGTAGGCAGCATGGAGAGTAAGAGCTGTGGAGGTCTGAGTGCACTGGTGACCATGCTGGATCAGGAAGGAGGACAGAATGCAGAAGTGGGTGAAGGGAGAGGCATCACCCATGATGAGGGTGGTGGCACTGACAGCACTCCGGGAACTGGTACAGCACCCTTGTCTGGTCATTCAAGCAGTCACAGCTCAGGTAACAAGCATCTCTGTAGATCAGAACTAAGTTGGCAAAAACATCTTCAAGACAGATTATCTAATGACTTTTGGGCTACATCTAAAAATCATTTGGGAAATGATAGAAAAATATTAACCCATAAACTGCTGTATGCCTCTCAAGAGGTTAAGCATCTGATGCACAATGCCTCTTAAAAATGTCATTTTCAAATGGTGATCCTAAATGCCCTAATTGATCTACAACCCCATTATTTCATGCTGCTTATAATGGATGTATCTATCAGAATTATTTAGACCTTCATTTGTAATTAATCAGTCTTTCCCTAGCTATGGTCTTAAAAAAAATACTTTTTCTTCACATTATGGTCTCACTACTACTCAAAAGAGGCACTATGCACTTTATAGGTTAAGGACTTCTACTAAACTTTCTTTTTCTTTAATTGGCAAACTAAACTGCATTTTTTTTACGGGAAAATTATACTAGATCAGGCTAGTAATCCTAAGACGACAAAATAATGTTACCTAGATTAATCTGTATGTGTAATTTTCATAAAACATTTACATTTTGGTGTTATTCAGTAGGATAACCTCTATTTGAAAACTGCATAAAAATTTATATGAACTCTTTCTAATTTTGTCCTGGAGAATAAATGAGAATTCAGTTGGAGCAGCAGAATAAGCCCTTGTAACATATCTTCTGTATCTTTCTTTATGTTATAGGCCCTATTACTCCAGGGGGGCTAGGATCAAGTAGTTCAGGCACTGTTAAACCACAGGACCCAAGTATAGACCTCGAATTGTATGTAAGGGTATGCATTAGCTCTGGAATGTGCAATCTTTACACACATTGCATGTCAAGAGAAGAAAAAAGTTTAGTTGAGCAATTTACCTGGATTAGAAAATAATATTTGTAAGTTTTGTTTTGTGATTGACTTTTTAAGAAATTATGACTTTTGTTGATTAGATTAGAAATAATGATATGAAAATCATCCATTCATTAATCCAGGATGAAAAAAGAAAGAAGTTTTTCCGGTGGTATATCTGAGACTCCAGGAAGTCCTGGTTCAATTCGCAAAAAGAATGAAGGCCGACCCAATATCTCCTCAAACAAATTGCGTGCTCCTCCTCCATCATCACTTTCAGTATCAGCTGACACAGTGTTCTACATTCCTGGACTGGATGTAAAGGTAAACTATACATTCCATCACTTATGAATAGTCACCACACTTGTATGTTTAATGTCTTGGGATTTGTATGAATTACTTGAAACACTTTGATACTTTGTTTATATCTGTTTTAATTTTTGAGTGGAATGAAGAATGTGTTACAAAGTATTTGATAATGATTTTATTCTGGTAGCATATTCAGAGTAATTTTTTGCAGGTACATTATGAGTCACACAACATTCATGAAGAGAGACCAGTAGGAAGTGGTGGAGGCCACAGTGAAGGTGCAGGGTGGTCAACAGCTAGAGTAACAGGTGGTGGTGGGAGCCAAGGTGTAAGTACATCAAGGAAAAGTGCTGTTGGGACAAGTCGCATGAAGAGGGCTTCTCTCTTTACATGGCTTTACCTTAGAGTATACAAAGGGAGACAACTGTGAGGCCAAACATTTTAGAATTTTTGGAGCTAACTCTGGAGCCATTACCTTTACCAGAGCCACAACACAAATCACCAGTTGCATCTCAAGGTAAACTATGTCCCCATTTTTTTTAGTACTCTCCAGTTATAGTGGATGATTAACCTTGTAGTTTTACTTTTTGAAGATGTGAAGATGCCATATACAAATGAATAAGTAACCCTGTCAATTTAACTTTTTATTTATGGGCAATAATGTAAAGGCATTTGAGAATGATACTTCTTGAATCTTGGAATACACAAGATTCTGACAATCTGGTTTTCCTGTTACCAAACTGAAAGTGGTATAGAAAACTAATTTTTTAACTCAATGCTGCCAGGAAAATGTAATGTTCACTGTAGTTTTGTTTAGTGAGATGTCTTTACACATACATGACTCCAGAAGTGCTCAGCCACCAAGGAGTCAGTCAGTAGACCTTGTGATCTCACCTGATTTCCTCTTTTGCTGTTTTATGTTTGTTTTTTTCATTGATAATGGTATTAATAACAATGCTGTTATTAATGTTATAAACATTGCAAATAGCAAAATCAATTATAACAAATGATTCCAAAAATCAAGGAAAAGGGTAAACAGGTGAGGTAGTTAGTATTAGCAATTGCCTACTTGCTGAGTAAGGACATGGAGAACCATTTATGTGTAAAGACAGTTAATAAACTAAACTCACACTGCCTACACTTGCATGCCATTTTCTTGCAAGAGATTTTACATCTGTCTATGTAGTTTCAAGTTACAAGTGTAGAGAAAAAGGAAAAAGAAAAAAGAAAAATAATATTAATGTTCTTAAAATCTGTTATTACTGCTGCTATATCTCTCTGATATGTTTGCTGCCATCATAATTCTTCAGTTACAATTCATTACATATGATATGCTGTA